TCCGGTACGTGGGCCTCTCACTGTTGTGGCCTCTCCCATTGCGAGCACAGGCTCCGGCCATGGCTCACGGGCCTAGCCACTCCACAGCATGTGGGATCTTCCCGGACCGGGGCACGAACCCGTGTCCCCTGCATCGGCTGGCGGACTCTCAACCACTGCGCCACCAGGGAAAGCCATACTGTGTCATTTTATATAAGAGACTTGAGCATCTACAAATTTTGGTATCTGCTGTGGGGAATCCTGGAACCAACCCCCCCCATACTGAGGGATGACTGAACGTGTTTGTTTTTGCTGAACTAATTGGGAGGAATTTGTAACATGATTCTGTAGGAATCATGTCCTATAACAAGGTTGTTTTCTTGTAGGATCACAGTTTTAATTTTCAATTTAAACTTATTTAACATATCTGCATTACTCTTATCTAATATAGAGTCCATTTTCAAATTTTACCAAAAGTCCCAATTCTATCTTTCATAGCAGTTTTTTGCTGGATCTAGCCCAGCATTTTGCTGCCATTTCTCTTCAGGCTGCTTTATTTTGGATCAGTTCTTCACCCCTTCTTGGTCTTTCATCAGGCTGTGCTTTGGGCAGCCTGGTTATTCTGTCATGAGAGAAAACTGGAAGCCCTTGTGGGTCACGGAGAGAAGAACTAACCTCCATCCCTCACCTGTGTTCCTTAGGTGCCTGGAGAGTTGCCCAGCTGACACACCATACTCAGTGTGTCAGTAGGAAAGTGACTGTAATACGCTGTGTACATTCTTGTGATTGGGGGTTTCTGAGATCTTTAGCCGAAAGGCACTGTTAAGTGTAAACTCCCTGTCATTATGATTATCATTCTCCTTGTGAAAGCTGGTCTCTGTCGCTGGGTTACAAACCGAAGTTCTTTCTCAATGGTCAAATATGTTTTGGTTTCTGTCCCCATTTAGTCTCAAAGAAGATGGCGCAGGAACCCCTTATGACAAGGAATCAACAGCCATTATAAAGCTGAATAATACAACAGTTCTTTATTTAAAAGAGGTGACCAAGTTCCTGGCTCTCGTTTGCTTTGTCAGAGAGGAAAGCTTTGAAAGAAAAGGTAATTTTTTGTGTGATTTAAATGAAGTATTTCCATTCAGACGTTGAATGCAGGTGGACAGCAGTGTGCCTTGGGAAGCTTCCAGACTTTAGTCACAGGCCCCTTTGGCTCCTCCCCACATCCTGGGGTTTTGGGATCCGTGAACCAGCCTGCCCTCTAGTGATGCAGCTGCCGTGAGGTGGTAGTGGAACCAGACCATCCTCCCAGGGAGGGGCTTGAGCTTTTCTGGGAGCAGAGCCAGCTGGGGCATTGTTGCCAGGCTGTAGATATCTTACCCCAGGGAGGGCCCCTAGCCTACAGGGGGTGCCAAGGCCTCCCTCTTGGTCCACACCTCTAGAAGGTATTAGGGACCTTGTGACCACTTGTCCTCCCCGTGTAAAGGATGAAACTCATACAACATTAAAGCTAGATGTTATTTAACCTCTGTTCAGCCCTTGTCCATTCTTTAGTCCTAAAACACAGGGACAGCATCGTGATTTCAAAACAGGGAGATATGAATATATTTAATAACGTCACCAAATATCTTTTTAGGACCAAATTTAGTTTTATTTGGAAACAAAAGCAATTAACCCTCATAAAGATACTCATATTCCCCAGCCCTGACCCGCACCACTATGTAAACTGGGAAATATCAGTTTACTGATGTAGCTAGGGATTTTTGCTAGTAATTAGGGGATGATTTACCCTAAATTCCCAACAAAATGGCAATAGTAACATTTTCTGAAATAGCCTTTTTTCTTCTTATATGCAATACATGTTCATTATAAAAATACTTTGAAAACTTAGGAAAGTATAAAAAAGTCAGTTTCACCATCTAGAGCTAAACTCCATGTTAAATTTCTGGGATTTTTTTCCTCCTTCCTTTTCTCCCTCCCTCCCTTCCTTCATCCCTTCTTTCCTTCCTTTCTTCCAACAAAAGTGGTGCCATATTGCCTACATAATTTTCTATCCTGTTGTTTTCACTTATTTATATCATGAAAATCTTAATTCATTGACTCTGAAAACATGATTTAGATTTTTATTACTTCTTTTTGTTACAGAGTAATAGATTCATTTAGAAAATTTAGGTATAATAAATAAGCAAAAAAGAAATAATTATTGATAAGCTTCTCACTCACATAATCACTCTTGATATTTTCTGTATAACTTTCCAGTTTTTTCATAGATATCTCTATATATGGAATTATATAATAAATACTACTTTATAACCTTCACTTAAATTATTACAGACATCTTTCCAATTCATTAAATCTTTTTTTAACCACATCATTTTAATGATTAGTTTCTTCTATTGTTAGAAATGTGTGTTGTTTCTAGATTTTGATGTTATGAATAATCCATAATGACCTTCTTTCCACTAAATATTTGTGTGCATCTTTGGTTATTTCCTCAGGAAAGACTTCAACAAATGGAATTACTTACATCAGTACATTTTGGTAGCTTATAATGCATATTACTAAAATGTCCTTCAGAAAGTTTTTACAGGTTTATGCTACTAAGAGAATATGAGTGTGTCCATTTTGCTTTATTCTCATTAATATTGGGTATTAGCATTAAACATTGATAATTGAAAACAAATTTACATTTTTTCTGCTTCTTAGTGAAGTTGTATATTTTTTCATGTATTTACTATTGCCAGCCAAATTGTCTGTTATGTCCTTGGCCCTCAAAACTTTTAATTAAATGGTGGTAATCTTTTACTTTTTATTTTCATCTTGCTGAAACTAAGAACAGATTATATAATGGATTCATGGAATTTTGAAGATAGACAGGACCATCCTGTGTTTCACTCTCTCAGTCACTGATGATTTTACCCAGACCCAGGAAATAGAAGTGACTTTCTCCTATGGTCATACCACCAGTGTATAGCAGTGTGGGCTAAAGATTTCTAGGCTTCTCCCTGTATGGAATCAGTTCTGTGTATTGTGTTTTAAACCATTATACATATATTCCCTTGGTTAAAGATATTTCCAGAATTTATATTTGGTGATTAATATTTTATGTTGATTTTGGAAACTAAGGAAAGTAAAAGTAATGCAAATAGTACAACTATAGACCCCAAACCATCTAGGGTGATGACAGGTCCTAAAATTTAGGTTATAATAACATCAACCTTGAGAGCTTGTTTATTTTGAACTGATTTTAGACTTAACAGAAAAGTTGCAAAAATAGTACGTAGTTTATATATACTCATCCAGCTTCCCAAAATGTTAACATGTTACGTACTGTAGTACAGTTATCAAAGCTAGGGAATTAACATCCGTATAATACTATCAATATTAATAAAACTTACAGACCTTATTCAAATTTCACCAGTTTTTCCAAAACTACCTTTTTTTTCTGTTCCAGGATCCCAAATTGATTTAGTTATTATTTCTCCCAGTCTCCTCCAATCTGTGATGGTCTTTCATGACCGTGACACTTTTGAAGAGTACTCATCAATTATTTTGTACAACGTTCCTCAAATTGGGTTTGTCTGATATTTTCACACAATTGGAATGAGATTATGCAATTTGGCCAGAATACCACACAGAAATGATATTGTGTCCTTAGTGTATCATATGTTTATGATGTTAGTTTGGCTTATTACTGGCGATGCTGACCTTGATTTAGTTAAGATAGGGTCTACCAGGTCTTTCCCCTGGAAAGTTCCTACTTTTCACTTTGTAGTGAATAAATACTTTCAAACTATGCAAATCCTCTTTCTCCTCACACTTTTGCCCACTAATTTTAATGTCCATCTATGGTCGTGTGAGTTAATTTAAGCAGGAATTTCTCATGTAGATCTTGGGCAACTTATTGTTAAACCACCTAGGGAGGATCATCTCTGAAGATAGGCAGATTTTGTAAAGTTTATTAGACTAATTAGAAACCTGAGTATTTGTTTTAATGTGACAAGAGAGATAAATAGGCAGACAAGGTTTAACCCCATGATGTTAAACTTGTTTGCTTTTTAGGGTGACTAACCAGTCTCCATTTGCCTGGGACAGAGGTGAGGGTTCCTGAAACAGGGGACCTTCAGGGCTGCAACTGGGAAAGTCCCAGGCAAATGCATTAAGTTGATCACCTTAGCTTTAGAAAGAGCTTGATGCTTTACATATGCATGGAGTGGTTTTTGTTTTTGCTGCTTTAATCTCAAGTGTTGAGTCCTGCTGGTGCTGATAATCAACACTTGTTGGTTGACTTGTCCTGATGTTGGTCTCTGTCTGTGTTTTCATGGATGATTTCTAACTGCTTTGGCAGAAAGGGGAGGATAGAAAGTGGAAGTGGGATTCTTGGTCTTAGCTGCACATCGTAGGCACCTTGGGAAGGGAGGTGGTTAAAAAATATGGCCATCGAGGCCTGCCACGGAACAATTAGAACAGAATTCCTGGGAGAGGAACCTGGGGTTTGTTAATTTTTAAAAAGTTCTCTGGATGCTTTTAATATGCAGTTATGATTGAGAATCACTGAACCAAGAGAAGGATGTAGGACCATCCCATAACTGCATATGGTGCTGAAGATAGTGCTTGTTCTGTTCATGTCTCTGTTCCTGTATTTTCTTTTTTTTTAAATAAATTTGTTTGTTTATTTTGGGTTGTGTTGGGTCTTCATTGCCTCATGCGGGCTTTTCTCTAGTTGGGGCGAGTGGGGCCTACTCTTCATTGCGGTGCGTGGGCTTCTCATTGCAGTGGCTTCTCTTGTTGCAGAGCATGGGCTCTAGGCACACGGGCTTCAGCTGTTGTGGCACGTGGGCTCAGTAGTTGTGGCTCATGGGCTTAGTTGCTCCATGGCATGTGGGTTCTTCCCGGACCAGGGCTTGAACCCGTGTCTCCTGCATTGGCAGATGGATTCTTAACCACTGTGCTTCCAGGGGAGCCCTGTTCCTGTATTTTCAACTGCGTTTTATGAAAGAGTTGAAATAAACAGCAAACTCTTTGTAGGCACTTCCTTTAAAAACCTCAGTCGTGAATTTTCACTTTTAAAGCTCCAAATGCAGCAAGATTACTGTTACTTTTTATTTTATTTATTTTTATTTTTTATAAATTTATTTATTTAATTTATTTTTGGCTGTGTTGGGTCTTTGTTGCGGTGTGCAGGCTTCTCATTGCAGTGGCTTCTCTTGTTGCAGAGCACGAGCCCTAGGTGCACGGGCTTCAGTAGTTGTAGCTTGCGGGCTCTAGAGCGCAGGCTCAGTAGTTGTGGCACACGGGCTTAGCTGCTCCGGGGCATGTGGGATCCTCCCGGACCAGGGCTCGAACCCATGTCCCCTGCATTGGCAGGCGGATTCCCAACCACTGTGCCACCAGGGAAGCCCCTACTGTTACATTTTAAATGTGCACCATGAATAAATTGAGATTTGTCAGGAATCATCAGTAGGCTGGATCTGAAATTTCCCAAGTTGAATTCTAATTGAGCCAAAGTCCTCTAGCTAAGCTTTCTGCCTAAGGCAGTTGGTTGCACACATAGGCAGAGAATTTTGAGGTGGTTCTCACATCTCTTATCCAAACTCCCACTAAATAAAATCATTTCTATGCTCCATGTTTCTTTTTTTTTGAAGTTCATGCTTTGTTTCGAAGATGGTTCCAAGAAATAAAAGTGAGGAAGTGGGGAAATAGACAAGGGAGGTAGAAAAGCCATCTACAGTGGGAGCTGTGTGCTCACTCCTGCTGGGGGAATCTCGGAGAAGCTGTGTGCAAGAAATTCGGAATCACCCCCATTGGGCATGCAAGACTTCCACATTTGTCCACCAACTCCCATGTCTCATTGTGTGAGGGATACCCCCAGAAACGTTTATTTCCATAGCCCTGGTATCTGTCTGTGTGCCAAAGAAAGCTTCAGGCAGAGAAGAGATGCCCATACCTGGGCTTGCTTATTTCTTATTACTTTCTCCCTCTTGCCTCACTGGTCTTGTCTTGAGGAAATTGTCTCCTAGTTTTATTGCACTGTGGTCACTATCACTGCAGAAGCAGCAGAGGGCGCCACTCAGAGAGTTTCCTGCTCCTGGAAGCTGAGATGGTGTTTCTTCCAGCATACTTGTGGTTGGTTACATGACTGCTTTGAAGCATTTCTCTTCTTGTCTGGAAAACAGTTCTTTTGGCGGGGCGTGGGGTGGGGGGGGGGTACTCTGGAAGCATCACCTGAGTGGATGCAAATAATTTTGGGACTAGTTATTTTAATAAATTTAAAGATAGTAAATGGAACCCACTGCCTTATCCTAATTGGTATAAATGTAATGCTGCTCTCAACACTTTACAAGTTAGTGGTGATGATGAGAAATGTGCTCAAGACTTAGATTATATTTTATTCTATTTTGTATCAATTCTACAAAATTCTATTAATTTATGAAAATACAAGAAGATTCTCTACTAGTATTCTCCATTTAAAATTTACTTAATATTGAAAAACTGAGAGTGTCATTGGTTGTTGAATTCCTGAGCTCAGAGTTCACCTGAGGTGATGATAACCACTCTAAAATTAGGGACTGGGCTTCCCTGGTGGCTCAGTGGTTGAGAGTCCGCCTGCCGATGTAGGGGACACGGGTTCGTGCCCCGGTCCGGGAAGATCCCACGTGCCGCGGAGCGGCTGGGCCCGTGAGCCATGGCCGCTGAGCCTGCGCGTCCGGAGCCTGTGCTCCGCAACGGTGAGAGGCCCGTGTACCGCAAAATAAATAAATAAATAAAATAAAATCAGGGACTTTGTTTTCCCCAGGGCTTATGACAACGGCTCTGTGACCTTGAGATCTCAGCTACACTCCAAGTCAGGGTCTGCCTCCACTCAGAGTCAATTTAATAATACCTTTTGGGGAAAAAAATACTAATAAGTATTTCACTGAAGATATATCTTAATTGTTCTTACAATCTTTAATTCTGAAAGATTTTTTAAAAAGGCAGTTCAATTGGTTCTTCAAACTTTTTGGGTCATAGACACCTTTGAAAATGTGGTATATACTCTGGAACCTTTCCTTAGTAAAAATATATATATTCCCAAGACACTGCCTGCAATTCCTGAAGCCCAGCTGCACACCTCCTAGAGAAATCTATAGATCTTATGTTAAGCCTGCTCCTCTACCGCCCCCTACTGGCTTGTCTTCGCCATAGCTGCCATGAAAAGAGATTATTTCTAGGCGGCACCTCTATAAATATTTTTGTTTTCTTCTCCAGGGCTGATTGACTATAATTTTCATTGCTTCCGGAAGGCCATCCATGAAGTTTTTGAGGTGAGAATGAAAGTGGTGAAATCACGGAAGGTTCAGAATAGGCTGCAGAAGAAAAAAGGAGCCACCCCTAACGGGACGCCTAGGGTGCTGCTGTAGGTGAGGTTTCAGGAACATCTTTTGAAGTCAGACCTTTCAGTGAGGCTGCTGCTCTGTGTTGCACTAAAGGAAGAGGAAGAAGGAGATGGGGACACATGACATATATTTGCTGTAAAAAAAAAAATCCTGCCACCCACTTGATCTTCTCTTTTTTTTAAATAAAGTAAGCACTTTGAAGCAAAAACGTATATTAACAATGAAGTGAAATCTACTGTAACTTCATTACACAAATGTAAACTTTTATGGTCTGTAGTCAGAAAAAATCCTGTGTGAGAACTGCCAGGAACTGTATATATTTTGCACTTTTTCATGTTTTTTCTTTTTTTCCTCATTGAACTAAACTTTGATAAAACAACTTTTCTAGGCTCTTTTCTGTCCTTGGTGTCTAGGACATGCATACCGAGTCCATATCTATAGGGCAGTCAGAAAGTAATCAAAAAGTGATGCGTTGGCAATGACTTTTTATAAATTTGGGAATCTTTGCTACCAATTGTTGAGAAAAAACATTTTTCAGTGGAGGAACAGATTGGGGCAGCAAGCTCCAGGAGCAATAAGAACTGTCCCCTGTTTATAACTGACATAAATAGAAGTTTTATAGAATAATATTAGCACCAAACTTATCTAAAAATTTCTATAGCCGTGACAGTGCTTCCCTAGTCGACCCTTTTTACAAAACTCTTTACCTCAACACACATCTCTATAATCATTTTATACAGAGAGGTTATTTCTTTTTGCTGCATTACTGTTCTTTAGAACCTTTGGGACCAGATTTCCAAAATGGTGCCGATCAATGGAGAGAAATCAGAATGTCACTAAATTGCAGGGTTTCTGGAGGCTTTTCTGTACCTGCCACTCAGGCTAAAGTAATAACATCAGAGGCCACATGGTTTCCCAAATGTAGGTGATTGGCAACTGCAGATTTTAAAATATGTCCTATACAATGTTTGGCCCCTGTGGAATGAGCCTCTTACCGTGCAACATTGCAAATGTTTATTTAGGACCAGTTTTTTTTGTTGTTGTTGTTTTTGCATTGCTCCACAACCACAGGTAATATCTCAGTTCTCTGCCACAGAGCTGAATCCTGATGGGCACATTTGTCACCTCTGAGTCTCCCTCTCACCTGTGACAGTGTGCCTTGTGGACCCTGCCTGTTTCCACCTTATGATTGAACTAGAGCTCGGCTCTCTGGCAGCGTGTTCTGCATGGCTAAATAGCCATCCTGAAAATCTCTAAAGATCAGTGGAAAAGGATGGCCAGAGGAGGCATTACAGTTAGCTTTGTGTCTGTTTCTATGAAATTCTTCCACTTATGCTTACTTTAGGCCAACAGCAAGTTAATAGATTCTAAATCTACCCCCATCCCAAACCATTCCAATTAGATTATTCTAGATCCATCCCAAGGGTCAGTGCCCTATGTAAAGCATGTTGGCAGGTATTAGAAAATGTTTTTAGCAGAGCCTCATAGGGATAACAATGCTGAGCCTAGCAAAAATGGATCAGGTTACTAAAGCAACTTGTTCTTGAAGCTATCCCACTACTATCTGCAGCTTCTTTCCATCCTCTCGCCTTCCATCCTTTTCCCAAGTCCTGTTCCTTTGAGGCTGGTAACTGTAATTTAAGATGGTAGCTGATTGGGGTTTAAGGTTTGAGCCCTCCCAAGGGTCTGTGCATTTTGGAAGGAAATTTCTAAAAATCATGAAGGTGCCCTAACTCCCTTCCTCATGATTCCTACTCAGAAACACAGGTGGGTAGGAAGCCAGGGTTCCAGGGAAGTCTTTTTCCTAATTTTCAGACCTATAACCTGTTAGACCTTTGCCAACATGGTACATGGAAGTTATTCTTATAAATCTATTCTTTAATATTTTTACACAGTGTTTCTTTTTGGATAAGCAAATAAAGAATCACTTTTCTAAAGTGACTTTATCCTCAAGATAGAGACATTTACCTATCTGGTAAATCACACATTACTTAGGTATATATGTTATTATAACCAGGTGGAGCTTCCATTTTTAAGCTGGGTATATGATGGGTTTTTGTTAAAATGTGCCTTAAAAGCCTATTACTTCAAGAGCAAATGATTCTTTGGGGGAAAGGCAAAGTTAATGCTATGACATCAGACCCAAGTTCATGGTAGTAAGTGCACTCTTTGATTAATGACACACTGATACATAGACTACTGCCTCAAAGCCGTAAGCATGGCAATGACCTCTTAGTTAAAGAGAAATGTAGGAGTTATATCTAAGCATTCAGTTTCTGAAGTCTGTGCTATTGGAATTACAAAATCTCTTCAATTCCTTTTTCATTTTATTTTTGATATGGGACTTAGCTTACTTGTGTGTGGCCACCTTTAGGTCTCAAATGTAATGCTATAAATATGTATAAATATACAAAATAATGTATAAATACAAAGCCCAAATACATGGCTACAGTGACTGCTCTGGAACATTTTTGCTCGTTTTCAAAGGTTGAGAACTTGACCTACAGGTTTCCAGGGCAATTAGAACTTCTATGTAGGGATGAGACTCTGCTTGTGAAATACCATCTTTGGTTATTTTCAGTGATGTAGATTAGTGTGTATGACCAGGGTAGCGTGTTTCTGAAGGAATATAAATCAAAAACTGGTTGACATTCACAGACAGTAATGTTTTGTGAACATGATATATTTTGGGCCCTTAAATGTAAAAATGCCTAAAAACACAGCAATATTGTTATATACGGGTTATATGAAACATACTCGAGAAAAACAGCTGAATTGTCTTGATTATTAAAGTATGGTATGCATTCAACTTATGTGGACTGGATGTAATTTGTAATCAAGTATAGTATTTACTATTATGTTTTACTTTAAGCAGTACATCATTTCTAACCATTGTTAAAGCATTCCTTTCAAGAACGTTAGCTGCCCATTTAAGAGCGTGTGTCATACGCTCATGATTTGGTAACACTCTCATTTTATTTCAGGCATATTCGTAATTAATCTTTCTGGGAGCGGAATGGTCTCTTTGGTGAAAAGAAAGCATGGTCTTTCATGTTTGTGAGGTTGTTTACTGTATACATGCGTGTCACTGCTGGGTTCCTTTAGAAAAATGTGTTTGTCCTAATTAACCAGCTATCGCTTTATGAAAATGAGGATAAATTGATCTATTTAAGTTGGATTTACATTTTTATTTTTTTCAACACTCGTATCTCTCCATATTTTTGATGGGAACATGCCTGTTTTGGCTGTAGAACTTATTTCAGTAAACTTCAGATATCCTTGCTGCTCTGGCCCTAATCCCTAGCCATCTGAAAATTCATTTCCTAACAGTCCACATTTTGATTTTTACTTGCTTAGTAAGATTCCACTGTATAATGACTTTTACAGATCCCCTCAGGGTTCTCAGAGAGGGCTAGCATCAGATGTTATATATGAAATCCTGTTGCTCATGGGAAAATCTGAACTGGAATAATTATTTCCAGACCTCCCTGGTGGTACAGTGGTTAAAACCCGCCTACCAATGCAGGGGACACGGGTTCAATCCCTGGTCCGGGAAGATCCCACATGCCATGGAGCAACTAACAACTGCTGAGCCTGTGCTCTAGAACCCGCGAGCCACAACTGCTGAGTCCGCGTGCCACAGCTACTGAAGCCTGCACGCCTAGAGCCCTGCTCCGCAACAAGAGGAGCCACTGCAGTGAGAAACCTGAGCACTGCAAGGAAGAGTAGCCCCCAGCTCTCTGCAACTAGAGAAAGCCCGCACACAGCAATGAAGGCCCAGTGCAACCAAAAAAAAAAATTATTTCCAAGTTTGTTTTTTTTCTTTTGGCTGCATTGTATGGCATGTGGGATCTTAGTTCCCTGACCAGAGATCGAACCCATGCCCTCTGCAGTGGAAGTTCAGAGTCCTAACCACTGGTCTGCCAGGAAATTCCCCAAGATTTTTAATCAGTGGTGATGTTGAGTTTAGGGGAAAGAAAATGTCATTAAAAGCATTATTTAATACTAACAGATATTGAGTGCACACGATATGCCATGTGCTGCTCTTAAATGCTTTTATATAATCATCCTCATAAACCCAAGAGGTAGGTACTATTTTTTTTTTTTTCTTGCGGTACGTGGGCCTCTCACTGTTGTGGCCTCTCCCGTTGCGGAGCACAGGCTCCGGACGCGCAGGCCCAGCGGCCATGGCTCACGGGCCCAGCCGCTCCGTGGCATGTGGGATCTTCCCGGACTGGGGCACGAACCCATGTCCCCTGCATCGGCAGGCGTACTCTCAACCACTGCGCCGCCAGGGAAGCCCGAGGTAGGTACTATTATCACTCCTATTTTACAGAGGAGGCAGCTGTAAAACAAAATGAAAATAACTTGAGATCGTATTACTAGCAAGATACGAGGCCCGGAGTTGGACCTAAGAGTCCACCCTGTCAATTACTGCTCTGAGTAGCCTCACCAAATGTCCCTTAAAATTCCCTCCTTTCATGACTAGGAAGAGGGAGACTTGAAGTTCAGAGTTTCTGCCGCATGGGCTTATGAAGGCTGACATGCTGAGGTGTTTAAAATACCTTTTCTTACATAAGAATCAGTAGGAGCAGTCTGCTAATGTGGTTCACTTGGAGGAGAAACTCAACAAAGATTATGCTGTTTTTCTTCCTAATCCATTAAATAACTCTAGTGCCCAAAATAATATTAACAGCATTTAAATATCAGAAAATTTAAATACCTTTTATAGCCATTTGATTTTCTTTTTTCTTTTTTCCTTCTTTGGCTTCACTGCGTGGTTTGCGGGATCCCCAACCAGGGACTGAACCTGGGCCCTGGCAGTGAAAGCACCTAGTCCTAATCGCTGGACCGCCAGGGAATTCCCCAAGCCATTTGATTTTCTGAGAAGCAATAGTATATCAAACTGTAAGAAAATCAAGAGAGAATAGGCCTTTGATCTTAGCTATATTCAACCTTTACCTTGATTTTTTAGTATATGTAACAATAACTTAAAACACCGATCTGGATTAAAATTCTAAAAGATACATTTCAATCCTAATCCTTCAAACCTATATTTAAAATTGCTGCTAGCATACCTTTGTTGGACTCTCCTGTAAGAGGCGCCTCAGATCTAACATGTCCCACATGGAACTGGCTTCTTTCTTGCTAAATCTTCTCTCCCTGTGATGGCGTGACCACCCTCCCTAGGGTCCCTGCCAGAAACTTGGGTCTCTTTTTTTTTTTCTTTTCTGCAGAAAGTTACTGTTTCCATTTTGGTCCAAGGCTTGAGAGAGGGCTCCAGGGTGATTAAAAAGCTGCCTAGGGCTTCCCTGGTGACGCAGTGGTTAAGAATCCGCCTGCCAATGCAGAGGACACAGGTTCGAGTCCTGGTCTGGGAAGATCCCACATGCCTCAGAGCAGCTAAGCCCACGCACCACAACAACTGAGCCTGTGAGCCTAGAGCCCGTGCTCCGCAACAGGAGAAGCCAACGCAATGAGAAGCCCGCGCAGCTCAACGAAGAGTAGCCCCCGCCTGCCACAACTAGAGAAAGCCCACAAGCAGCAATGAAGACCCAATGCAGCCAAAAATAAATTTTTAAAAAAGCTGCTTAGTGGATGCAGAGAGGGACTTCAGGCAGAAGCCCCGACACCAGAGGGGCTCCTCAAAGGCTGCTGGGCTCCGGAGGCTCCTAGTCATGCTGGAGGGTGAGCCTTTCGAAGAGAGACTCGCCCAGCCCAGCCTGGGGACCAGCCAGCCTGCGGAGATTGGGCAGGTGGTCACCCATCTTCTTGATGAGTTTCACCTGCTCGTCCAGGAAGTGGCTCTTCAGGAAGTCACAGAGGTGGGGATCTGCATGGGCAGAACCCAGGGCATGCAGATCCAAAAGTGCCTGGGTCTGGTTCTTTTCCATGAGAATGGTGGCTTCCATAGTGTCCTGGGTTTTAGCCCCCACATCTTGGTGAGTATTGTACAAGTCCTGGAAGAGGGCACGACCATCGCACTGGTTTTGCATTTTTAAGAGATGCTGTGCACCCTCGCACTTCTCCTCGGCCAGTTCGTGGAAACAGTGGTCCACGCCCTCCAGAGCCACATCGTCGCCATGGAAATAGAAGCCCAGGCAGAGGTAGGTGTGGGAGTCCCACAGATGCATGTTGACTGGGCAGTTGCTGACGGCCTCCACCTTGGTAGAGCAGTTCTTTTTTTTT